CCCTCAAAACTCAAAACTCAAAACCACTCACCACCCACCTAATCATCAAACCACCCACAGCACATCCCCCATCCCCCTACCCATCCACACCAACAAATCCACACCAACAAACCACCTCTCCCTCCCCCCAAGATCCTCAAACCCATCCACCCACCCATCCATCCATTCACGCACAATTCACAAAATTTCCCCACAACACAGGAATCAATCACAATACAGGAATCAACCACAAACATCATAAGAAACAACTCCAATCTCTCCCCCTTCTCTCCCCCTTCCATCTCCTCTCACAACACCAACCCCCCTCCTCCAAAACCCCATCACACAACCAACAAACACAAGTGTCATACTTCAGCTCTGCAAATAATCGAGTGAGATTATATCATATGATCTACATAAATAATGTGTTTCACGATCAATTCTGTTCTGTCCCTTAGCTACACCCAAATTTTCGTCAAAACCATCTTTATCTACTTTCACTGCAACTGAAACTCCCCCTTGCAAAAAAGCGAGAGAAAAAAGGTATCACAATCACTAAACAAAAACACCAAAACATTCAAAACACTCCTAATTTCTTAATAACAAAATATGATTCTGGTATAGTATGTGTATGTGTGTATTGTATACCCCAACTGTATATTCAAATTCTTCCTTTACTCTCCGCTCTCCACTCTCTACTCCGTGCTCACTTCTACCCCACTCCCACTCCCACTCCTAGTTCACCCCGCCCTCTCCGCTTCTTCCCCTTGCTCTCTATCCCCAACCACACAATTTCCACAACCAACCAGAAGGAATCGTCTATGTTATGTGCTCAAAATATAAGCTCCCCGAACCCCGTATCCGACAAAGTAACGAACTAAAGCAACGAATCCCACATCGCCATCTCCTTTCCCTTCTTCTCCTATTCATGTATGTGATGTAATAATGTATGTGTATACGTATCAAGTATCGAGAGTATCAACAAAGAGCTATCTCGTTTCCTTTCGTATCATCCAAGACCAATCCAGTTATCAGAAAGAAAGAAAAATGCTATCTCATCCGGAGCATGAATTCTAAGCACCTGTGACTTCATTCTCCTTCAAATCCCATTCTCCCTGCTGTAACATGTGTAGAACCTCTTTTCCATCGGCCGTCAAATCCGGTTTACCTAAAGGTGTAACCGAACCTGTGAAGAATCTCGGTTGCCAATCAACGCCTTGTTCTTGTCGTTGTTTAGCTTTCTCTCTTTGCCTTTCTTCTAATTCTTGTTTGAGGGCTGTTGCCCGGGCAAATTGTCGACCGTGAATGGCTTCTGTGACGCCTGACCAGAACTTGAGAGATTCATTTGGTAGCTGTTTTTCTGTTGGCGGGATGATCTTTGGTGCTACTTGAAGAGGCGCGAGATCTATCAGGAGAATTTGATTGTCCTAATAACGTCCAGTCAGTAGCTGTCTGATTTTATGAAATGGAATACTTACGCCCTTCGGCCCCAAACTGAAGTATAGCTTGTCCTTCCAATTTCCAGATACTCTTGCTAATACATCTTTATCAGGAACATCTTTGATCCTAGTCTTATTATCATTGTCTGGATCGTAGCGGAAAACAACTCCCTCCACTTTGTTCTGCGTTTTCCCTAACCATCCTTCTTCAACATAATGTAAGATTGTCTTGATCTTCGTCTGAGCGCAACTGATGTAGCACTGGTCTCCTACGGTAACACTTAAAGTTCCACGCAAAAGCCCCCCAAGATGGGCGGCTGGATGTGTGAGCTGGTATTGCTCGTTGTCTCTCCTCTCAATATTAATGAAGATACCCAAATTGTGCTCCCCTGGTGTAACCTTGATACTCGTTCCAGTGAACTTTGCCGATATTTGATCGAAACCCCGGGCCGAGATACCCTTTTCCGGACAATCGACATAAAATGCGGAGACGGGTGGATGATGCGAAGTTTGTTCCGTCAGATACGATACTCGAACTTTTTTGCCCGATTTCGGCTTGGGAATTGTGACATTCGACGCATTGGTCGATGACATAGGAGTAGCCTTCTTCGAAGACGAAGCACTCGTCGTGCTTAATTTTCCCGTCTCTATAGCCGGTTGCGAATCCTCGACTTCCCAATTACACTGTTCGAGAGATCAGTATTCCCCACTTTGACCTTTCCATTTAGCTGCAGCTGCTTACCCTAAAAAATTCCCCAAGAGTAGAATTGTATGGCTTGCAAGGTTTGCCTTTCACATATTTCAGATCCTTCGTAAACCAAAATCGCATGACTTCCAACATTCTATCTAATGGATCATCCGAGTCTCCTATTGCCACAAATGTATTCGGTTGATCGAGGTAATTCCAATACTCGAGATTAGGCGTTGGTTCTAATAGCTGGGCCGGCAAACTAAATCGAACGGAAGCAATATCTGCCACTCCAATAAACCTATGAGAAAAGAGAAAGAAATGTCAGTCATGACCATCCGAAACGTATAGATATCTGCGAAATGTCCACAGGTTGCTTGAGAGGCTGAAGCCACATTTTGTTGCATTGATAGCGGTGTGGTTTTTGTGAACATCTCCTAGCAAAGATGCGCAGAAATATATCAACTTACTTTCGCAGAATGCCCAAGAACATCTTAAGTTTTGAGCCATCATCTGGTGGTTTCTCCGCTACCGCGGAGGATGTAGGTAACGACTCGGAGGCAGTTGAGGGGGCCGTCGATGCAGCAGGTGAAGGATTAAATGCGGAGGAACCCGAGGATGTAGATGCCATATTTGAAGATGCGGATTAAATAACAATTAGAGAATCTTATATTATTCTGGTATGTCGAGCAGAGACTTGAAGGGAGGAAACGATTTTCAAATTTGGTGATTGAAGGTTGGTTGGTTGTACAGCAGGTGGATGCTTAAGATGGAGAAATCCTTGGTACGGGAGTGACGTTTATTTTAGGGGCCTTACGATAAGGAGCCGATAGGGTGAAATGATCACAACAGGTGCAACATCTAAAAGGAAAGATTGGTGCGTTTAAATCTCGCAAATTCGAGGATATAAACTTCTGAAGTAACTGAATATTTGAAGAAACAACAAGAAGACAGATTGATATGACACTGTCGTGTTTATCATCTACACGATTAACCGTGCGAAATTGAAACCAAATTATCGAATATATCAAACCAAACTTTTTTCTTCCTGTACGCCATGACTCCCGCTCGGTTATTACCTTCTAGTCATAATTCGAGAACAACATCTTGACATCTAATTCAATTTCAATACATTAATCATGTTCAGTTTTTGGATAATTCACAACATCTACATTATATGAGTTTTCTCCGTAGAAAAAAGCGTTAAGCGGAACTGTCCCTGTTCCATCTAGATGAGGTCTTCATTGCTCACAGTTCCCAAACCATCGTAATGAGCCCTGGTGACCTCCCCAAAACTGTGCCGCCTGGAGTCCAAATGACTTCATAACGAGACTTACATGTTTTAGACTGCTTTCGAGATCTGTATCGAGGATTTGAGCTTCCTAGTATCAGCAGCCATAGATGATTTGTACCACATTCTTGAAATTGCCATTTACTGTCACCGTTCTCGAAACTTATAGAGTCCCTTACCTATTTAGTATTTGCTGGACATCTTTCTTACGTATTTCCCCGGTTCTGGAAGTTCTTGAATTTAACCGTGAGCGGATTTGTAAAGAACTCCCGTGATGAGGTTGACCTACCCCATCGTTCTCTTCCTATAGTAGATTATTATGCATGTTAGTTCACGTTGACTAGACTGTATCAAGCGGCCAACTCCAAGATTTAATTTGCAAGTGGACCTCCAAGCTCCGGGTATTTCGACTTGGGTTAAGTATGCAGCCCAGTTGAATCAAGGGTCACTATATTGTAACCGGCCGCAAAGCCGTTCCTAGATGTGACCACCTGGCTCTTTGCGCGTGACTGTCATTGAGTAGGCCCGTTAGTTGGACAGGGAAAATAGTCGGCTCAAGGGAGAGATATATTCTGTCACTTCCACGTATATAGAAGGAGGGCTCGAATGAAAGAATCAAGCTGTTGCTGCTTGATAATATCCTCGACTTTCATGACCGTCTGAGAAATTGCAAGTGAGGAAGTTGCGACATTAATTCATCACCCGGCAGTCAATGAAAACGATGTAGATAGTTCAACAGAAGAAGAAAGAAAGGATATAACACCTCTATATCTAGTGATGATGGGGAGATGAAGGCTTCTCAGCCTTCTAGACTGTAGTTAGAGAGCGAAATATTCTTGATGCCATGAAAAACGAAAAACGTGTGTTAAATTCCTATGTATAATTTGGAGCGTTTGGAATTTTGGATTCTTGAAAGTTGAAAGTCCATTCATAATTATCAACAGTATTTCCAGTACTCGCAGCTCTTATTTGGACTGCACTCCGGACTATTGACACCTTGACAAAAAGTAAAGTAACTCAGTCTGAAACAAAGTGGTTCTGAAACGCCAGCTTGCCAAATGCCAAGCAAATTCATAAAAACAGGTAGTTGCGGATATACTAAACTCGCTCGCGGGCCGTCCCTCTTTGTAGCTACTCGATCAAACTAACAACGGCAATAGAACATTGTAATGAATGCATTCTTAAGTCTTGTCAAGAGACCAATGTTTTCGTTTCATTCTCTTCTCAGATTTCTCATAGATGAAACCCAGACAGCTTCCTGAGGAAATCCCATTCGAGGATGGCCCGAGCACATGTTCGAGGCCCAGTGTCTGACTATAATGGTACCAGGGCTGGGAAAGGGGAAGAGTTCTTGTGTTCCGAGTCCTATCATCGAAAAAGATAACAGATCTCGTACGATGTTTGAAGCTTGGACTCTGACTGTAATCAAAGAAAAGATAATTCCCAGTCTTGGAGAGTAATACTGTACATTGCTTTCTTCTGAGTATCTTGACTCAGATGAGATGTAATGCGAACATAGAGGAAGTTCCTCCACCCTCCCGCCACCGGATTCCACCCACGCAAGAGACTTCCTGTTCCGAGTCCCGATTCCCAAGCAAACAACATGGACTCGTATGATCCTAAAGCCTGGGCTGTTACCTCTATTCAAGATGATTCGACAAGACTTCCTATGCAAACTATTGCCAAGAATCAAAATTCGGGGTCTAAAGACATGCAACCCAACCGACTTGTGCCGATTTTCCGTCCATACATCGTGACTGTCTGCAGTGTCACCAAATGACAACAGCGATGTTCATCATGTACTTTGATCTGGGCTGATTAACTACTAAGGCCACACATAGAATGTCAATGATGTATGCAAAGTCCCTTTCTCGGTGAAGCCGAAAGTCGTGTTGATCAAATTCAGGTATTACGGATGATGGAAAAGATTGATAACGGCGCTGGTAAGAGCAAGAGTAAGACCGCAGGGTCCTCCACAGTCTTACAAGAGAACACATTGGGAGTTATTAGCATTGCAGTAGAAGGCTCGTGGAATTCATCCGCATCGTAACTTGGAACCAATTTTCTACGGATAAGCAACAACAATCTTCCCAAACACTTTTGAAGGGTATGCACATCCGAGGTGCTCCATTAGACAAGCATTGTTGACGTCATTTATATGGGTCACCACTTCAGAAAGTTAAATGGGCGGAACAGCGAGCGGATAAGACGAGGTGAAAATCCTCTCTTATTCAGGAATTAGATATCGATGACATCGAAGATCCGTAATACATAAATAAACAAATCTCCAAAAATAAGATGAAAGGATGAAAAAATCTTCGGTTCAGGTGGGATTTGTAGTAATAGGAATCCATTTTGATCAATCTATGTGCCATTTGTACTCCGTACTGTGCTTTGTTTTATATTGTTATATATTGTTGTGAGCGATGATCTCATGGCTGATAAGTAATAGGTGCCGAGAGACTGTTGACGGGAGCACTTTTGCCTTGTATATCGGTGACAATGTGATTATTGGCGATAATGCTCTCTCTCGAATCTTGACGTGGCAATTTGACTGCTGAAAAGAGTTTGTTACGAAAATGACAGCGGAACGTTCCTTCTCTGGAGCACATCCTCGAGGCTTGAGTATTCTAGATGTCGAGAATTGTTCAAGTACCCACTGCTATAGGGCAAATGTCTTGAAAACCTACCCTGGTCATAATTAAAGGCGGCTTGTGGCTGAAATCTTTCTATCCACCGCCACCAGCGGTGTAGTGGTAAAGCGTGCCCGTGGAAAAGATTGATGGCTTGAAAATTCAAATCGGCAGATGCATCGCACTCAGGAATCACTTGATATCAGTACCTTCGGTACCTTTGATCGACTAGATGCAGTATCGACAATTTGACGCTACCTACTTTGGGAGTGAACAACTCATATCGCAGGAAGGAGATAAGATGGGGACGGATATTCTTCGCGAAGCTTCCACAGCTCGACGTCTTAAGCGAAAGCTGCATCTAGATCTAGATTGTGGTAGATGTTGCGCGCTGTATTTGACTTTCTCTTAGACAATAAAATACATCTGGTCGGAAAACCCCGGATCACCATGCTGCCCGTGCATATCCGTGTGAACTTGCTTGCAAGAGTGTATATAGCATATATGCCTACCGGTATATCGTAAAGTCAACAATCCACGATTATAGGATGGCCAGATGTCGCGCATAGAGAATTGGCAAAGTGAAGAGGCTGAAAAGGATAAGGGCGGGATGTACCGATTAGACAGACGCTTACGTAGTCTAATCAAGCCGTAGCTGCGAGATGTATCACGTTGGCGTTTCTGAGGTAGGTTAGATGCGGATTCCGTTTCATGCAAGTGCAGCACTTATTAGGCCGTTCACTTTTTGTGCTCGGCTCCATGCTTGACACCAAGCCAGCGGTGCACGGGAATCGAACTAAAATTTAGTGGTATCGTATGGAGATTGAAGAGAAAACGGTAATTATGGTTTGGATGAGGGCACAACAAGGAGGGGTTCGGAGGTTCCGAGGTAAAAAAAAAAAGAAATGTATGAAGAGCATCAAGGATAGAAGGAAGAGCAGCCAAAGAAACTCGAGAGTCGAACGTAATCTCAATGAAGGGTATTCATTTGTGGATGCGGGTGAAAGCTGCTAGGAAGATATTATTACAATATCCCGGAGAAAGATTACTGATCAGTTACGCCACAGCTCTACGCCACATAGCTCGATAATGGTGCCATCCATACCTCCCGTCTGATTCGTACATATGGATGCCTTTGTCCGAGAGCGTCATGGAGCTAATGTGATAGCTGTGGCTGTGCGCACGAGAACGAAGGTCACATTTCCCCCTCGATTGTCATAATCCAATGAGAAGCAGTAAAATTCATTCAACTGCAGTAGACTAGGCTTTTGCCAGTAGAACTTGTAGACGCTTGAATAGCCTATGAGAGCTCGTATCTAAGGATGATCGAAACACCCCCCATTATCCCATCATCCCATCATCCCATTATCTCATTATCTCATTATCTCACTAGCAGATTGTAGCTAGGTTGATGCTGTATGCAGTCAAGTCTGGGCTCTGGAGCATATGAACGTATGGAGAAAATGAATTCTGAGCCGCGGCAGGTGACACGACAGAGGATGCAAGCATCTGTTAACAGCTAGGTAAAAATTTCTTCACACTGAGCAATCAAGCCAGCACACCCTGAAAATCCTCCCAGCACCGAAAACGATACCTGACCTATATCAGCGTCAGCCTATGATGTATTACGCGAATTATGATTAATGTGTTGTGGTGCCGTTGAGCCATGTTTCTCTGGAGATCATAATGTCTAAAGCGTCTAAGATGATAAGGCATGAAGCTTGCACCTCATCTCCGGTGCGATAGGTTGATGGATCTGCCACAACGCCACTAAGGAGAAGTCTTTTGGCCCTAGAGTTTCGGCTCTGTAAACTTCCCGTTGATCGACTTGTGGCTCGTACGGCTCGCTAGAGGAGTTTGAGTTCCTTTGGTTTCCTCTTCTATGCAGGAGAGATCGTGGCTGTGGCTATGCAAAAACTCTATGGAAAGATTATCTGGAACAGTCCAGACTGAAAAGATGATTAAAACCAATGGGGTGGATGCAAGAAGACAAAGAGATTGACAGAATGATTTGTTTGGCTGAAGCGCCTGCAAGTCCCAGAAGTGGAAACAGCGTAGGTAGAAGGAAAAATTCCCCGCGCGGCCTGGAAATGAACAAAGTGGCACCCAAATCTGGCAAGCAACACACTAGAACTTTAGAGCCCCGGGCTCGAACTTTCTTTCCCCAATTCTTGAGATTAAGGACTGTTGAAAGGGTTAAATTTGTCCAATCCATCTACGGTGATAGGATCGCAATAGTTAGATGCTCCGAAAGCACGTATACGTATGATCTAACGAGAGAACCAAGACGAAGCAAATGCCTTATTATGATTATGGTGATAGAGTATAAAATGTAATAAGATGCGAGGATGCAAGTAAGCAATATAAAAGACATTGGCTAGGTTTGAACCAATCTGATGGTCGCGGACTAATGGTACGAGCGAGCTCACTTGGGGTAGAGAATCAAAAGGTAAAAAGGGGCCGATCTCCGAAAGCAGAAATCTCTCCAGATTTTCGATATGTAGACGCTCTTTGCAGGTGGGATCAGGATCGGAAAATAATGTCACGTTCCGTTGCGACACAATTTACACGGATATGAAGCTGAATTGGGCTTAGCCTTGATTCTCCATTGGGACCGAGAAGAATAATGATACCCAGCATCCGGTGCTGGTGTGCCCAGGTAAGATATTTTTCGTTGACCGTAATGATTGTGATCTCAGCAGAGTGCGAGAATGCCCGTTCGTCGCAAGCACAAGCCAATGTGGCTTGATACTTTACAAACGAAAGAAAAAGATGGCGACCATCTCAAAGAACGGAGAAATTGTGATGGGTCGATGATACTTTTCGCCACATTTGAGATTCCATCGATCAAGTGCTGATCCTTTCTTGATTGGATGAGCGACTGTGGCTGATGAGATAGATCGGTGATGGTGAGGATGTTGATGGATGCCGCTTTGACACCATGAAAATACGTCGTCTCTCCACGTCCGAGGACCTCATTAAGGCAAAAGCTCCGCCAAATGTACCCAGGTACTCTGTGGATAGAACTTTCTTTAGCCACCCCCAGCAACAAACGACTGACCCAAGGAGTCCAAGTAAAATATAATTTGCATGAAAGATCCCAGCAAAGAAAGAGAAAAAAGAGGATGAGTGAGATGATTGGGGAGGATGTCAATGAGAAAATGACCAGGGACAATAAGGGAAATCAATTTGCTGTATGGAGTAATACATTCATTCATTGATTGATTGATGTATTGATCTATTCATTCATTCATTCATTCACTCTCATATTGTCGTGGATCTCGAGGCCAACTGATGATGTGACCACATTAAGCATGCACATTTCATTCGCGGTACCGTTTACATGGCTTTCGGCTATGGTGCTTCGTAAAGACACTGGGTTGAGAGGGAGAACGGAGGACGGCCACGGGAGATGGAAAGACACGCTACACGCTACACCGGCTCTTTGTTATTTGCTTTATTGGCACGCCTGAATGTGAATGTGAGAATGCGTTTGATGCGAAGTCGATGTGAGGAGAGATGTACCGTTTAGGTAAAAATGGTGCTTGGGTCGAAGTAGTTTTGATATGGTTCGGTAGGAAGGAAGGAACTAAGGTGGTAGTAGTGGTGGATCTAGAACTATTGGAGTAGTAATCAGCTGAGGTGCTTTGGCTTGCGATCCTCATTCATTCAAATAGTCTCTGTTCTAATACTCGATCCAGGTCTAGGCACTCTTGCTACTATATTGGAAGGAGCCACCGTGAGTGTGATCCGAGAGGCGCTTAGATGTCGATTGCAAAGAAGTTCATCAGTTATACGACGGTGAAGTCTTCTCGTGGCCACGGATACAAGATGGTTGTGACAATGTCCTCGATAGACGTAGATGGTACAAAGTATACCCTACCTAGGTCGGTACATACAGACCGGTGGACGTACTAGTGAGTTGAATGATGAGCTGTGTATATTGTATTGTGTATTGTGTATTGTATATTGTATTGTATATTTTATATTATATATTGTGTATATTATTTGTATTATTGATATGATTTCTCTTGATATTACCATGACTGATATCTTTCCTTTTCGCGTGCCAGTCGGACCCATAGCAAAAGGCGTACCAAAATTAATCCATGCAGTCCCATGTCTCCAGTCTCTTCTAGGTTTCTATCAAAAAAGAAAAGCAAAGGTTCGAATCCAAGTAGCCTCAAGGAACCTTCCGTTATGCGAATTTTCATAAAATGATAAACCCCATCACATATAAACCCAGATCCCATAAACCCAGAACCTATAATTCCCCTCTTCCCCTTCCCTTCCACTCCCTTCCCCTTCCCCTTCCCCCCTTCCCACCTTCCCACCTTCCTACCTACCTCCAGCTGCCTCCTACCGAAAACCGACATATGATTCTGCTCATTTTAGATAAAGCCAATATCATCATTTGATAATATTAAGTAATCAATTACGGTCGGTAGTATGCGATATTAAATACTGTACCATCCCTCCCACACAAGACTTCGCACCCTTATCCTCGAAAAGATTATCGTCGTCGCTCTTCCATACAAGATCATATTATCATATCAGATCATATCAGATCATATCACCTCACCTCATCTCATCTCATCTATCTCATCCCTCTCATATTATACATAGTTTCACTTCAAGAGTCACAAAGTCAATCAATACCTAATAGGTGATAGGCGATTCCCACTAGGTAAACGAGTGAATTCCCATTACGCTCGCTATCCGAACTTCAGCAAATCCCATATGCTTACCCCTCCACTTCTTCCTCAGCTCAATTCTCGACACAACAGTCCACGTATTTAATCATTTGCATTCGACTCTCTTCACAAAGGGAGGGAACTCCTTTACTCTCTCAAATACTCAATAAAAAGAGCTTTGAACAGCTCAACCATCATGACCTCGATGTTTCGCAATAGGTAAGCTGATTCTTCTCTCATTTGCATGTTGCTCTTCGGCTCGGCGCATCGTCTTGCGCTTGGTACATACAGCCACAGCCAACTTGCCTTGAATACTTCGTGGACCAAGCTCACCATATTGAACCAGAAAATCAACTCAAAAACCCGGCGATG